AAATGTGGCTAGGGTGATGAAGGAACTGAATTTTTAGTTTTATTTAATTTAAATTAAATTAAAGTTTAAATCAACCTGTGGCTAGAGGACAATATAGCTGTACAGATCTCTGAGTGCATGAAACACTTGTTTTTCAAGGCAGCTGAGGGTAAATAATGGATGACAATAACCAAGAACCAAGTTAGACAGGCTGTAAGTTCTTTGGAAAGTGCTTGCAGAGGTTGGTTCTCAGTCTTCTTAAGACCTGGTCAAATGTCCTTGGTTTGAATGGGATCTTAACTTGTGGAACCAGGGAAGAGACTGAAGCCTGGCAGGTGAGCAAAGAAACCCATCTCCAAAGCTAAACTTCACATGCAATCTCTTCCTTCTTGTGTTGCCTAACTTATAGATAGTCTGTTATCATTATTATCTCTCCCATGTGGTCAGAATTTTGCAGTTAGCAAAGCAACTTCTCATTCATTATCTTGTTTGATTTTCACAATGAAGTAATGAGGTAGGAGGACAGGGATTATTTATCCAAGAACCCAAAACTAGAACCCTTAGCAAAGTTCACACAGAGAAAATCTGTATTTTAAGGTTACAGACGTTATCCCTAAATTTCTACTCTGCCCTGGATTATCTGAGCTAAGAATCATAGAAATGGTTAAATAGAAGAGAAGCAGGGCCAGTGAAGAAGATTCTTTCAGTCTCTAGCACGTCCCAGGAAATTTACTAGGCTATGAGAATATTGTAGTGAGTAAATCAGAAAATTCCTTGGCATTTGTCCAATGAAAAAAGAACCCTACTATTAAATGCCTGAAGAACCTCAAATCTAATTAATATGACTTGTTACTACCACCTGTCACCTCGTGGTGGTCACAAGGCAAGGCTTGTGTTCATACCCTGTCTCCCAAGTGGGCAGAGTCATTGCCTTATGGCATAACTGAACAGAGACCAGCTTCTGAAAGGATTCTTCTACTCCATTTTGCTAGTTAGCCTCAGATAAAATTATTGCCCTTTAAAGGACTCTATAAGTACCCAAGAATTGTAATGTATGTCATAATCTGAAGCCCTGAAGCAAATCAATGCCATATGGGGTCATTCTCATCCAAATAAACCTAGGATAGTGATTCTCAAAGTTTAATATGCATAAGATTCATCTTAGTAGAAATGTCATTCTACTAATTGTGCCCTGATTCGGTGAAATGGGGCCTAGAAGTCTGCATTTGTACTAAGCTACCAAGCAATTCTAATGTGAGTGGCCTGCTCAACCATACTTTGATTGGTTTTTCTTTTTTTAAAAAAAAAATTCAATCTCCCCTCTAATATGTTAGTTCTCCTTCAGAGGTCACAGAAAAGTGAGGGACATGGTAGAAGTTGGCTCCATTTATGAGACAGGGAAGATCAGGAAACTTGTGTCTAGAGGTGACTATAGAACTAAGAATTCTATTTGGTTTCATTAAATTTGAGGTTCCTAAGAGGCATTTACATGGGGGTTGTTGAGGAAGCAAATAAGATCTTCTGGAATGGGGCTCAGAAGAGAGCTAAGACTGGAGACAGTAATCAATCAGAGAGTTTCAGCCATGAAGATGATAACTAAAATCATAGGTGGTGTAATCACATAAAGCGAGAATGTAGTTGAGAAGAGTGTCAAGAACTGTGTCCTAAGAACCCCTACAGTCAGAGGCCAGGTAGAGAAGGGAGAGCATGTGAGAGGGACTGAAGGAAATTGTTGCTGAATTAGAAGAATAATCAGGGAAATACAATGTTGAGGAAAATCAATGTGGGAAGTATTTTAAGAAGGAAATGGGGCCAATCATAAGAGGACAAGTAAGAATACTATTTTCAAAGTTTGAAACTTCTATAAGAAAAAGTTGATCAAAGTTAAAAATCAAGCAGAACATGCGGAGATATGCTTAAAAATTATATAAAATAAATTAAATAAAATAATAATAATAAATAAAATAAAAAATAAATTGATATACAGAGTATGTATGATAAGGTATATCCAGAAATTAGTAAGAAAACTACAACAGAATTGTTAGAAAAACGATTAAACAGAGGAAGATGCAGTTCATATAAAGATAAATATGAATAGCAAAGAACTAATTTGAAGAACATCCAACTTGAGAAAGCATTGGGACAAATGAAGTGAAAGAGTGTTTTTAAGTTAACAAATACTGAAAGATTGATAATATTTGTTAGTTTGAGGGGAAAGAGTAAAGGGTATTCCCTAATCCTTCCAACAGGAATAAAATTGCAACAATGCCCTAGGAGGTTAATTTTATGGTGAACTTAAAAATCCTAAATGGGGATACATGTTAATAAAGCAATATCATTTTTGGTAGTTATCTCAAAGAAACACTGGCACATGTACAAAGAAATGTGCATAAGGGCATTAAAAATAGTAGAATTTGTGATAGCAAGGAATTGAAGACACCTACAAGCCCACTAATGGGTTATAATTAAATAAATTTTAGTTTATATTTTTAGTACAGAAGATTATGAAACAGTTAGAAAAGAATAAATTATATCTATATGTTCTCCAGTGAAAATATCTCTAATATTTAATACAGAAAAGTACAGATACAATGGTCTTACTTATATAATAGAACAAAGAGACATGACTTTTTATGCTTTTAAAAATGTTCATAAATACACCGACGAGATCACCAAACTAATGGTGGCTGTTCTCTAACAAAATGGTATGATTAACAAGTTAAAGATAATTTTGATTTTCACTGCTTTGGTTTTATATTTCTTGAATTCATCTGACCTTGTTGTTTGATTTGTGGTATCTTTAAGAAAAATTCAAAATTTTCTTAAGTGGCATTAAGTCAAAACAATTGATTTGGAGAAATAATTTTACAATGTGCTCATTTATTCATCAAGAGTTTAAATTCATACATATATATATATATATATATATATATATATGCCAACATGTTGGGTATTTGATATATAGCAGGCAATCAAATAGGTAGAATCCTTGTCCTTTTAAGATTTACCCTATAATGGATTGAGGTTTGAAATAGTCTTTTCTTTTCTGTGTAGGCTGCTCTTTCCATTAGAGATTTCTCATTCTCACATAATAAAATTTTCTATACTTTCATAATCTCATGAAGAAGTGTGAAGAATAAAGTATGAAGAGAACATCTATAAGATATCTCTAGAGAACTGCATCCTTGCTTCTTAGATTACCAAAAGCAGAGGAAAAATATAATAGTATTAGTAAAATAGTCTTTCTTGGGCTTCCCTAGAAACTTCCAAATTCTTTCTATGATGATGTCTATGGGACAAAGCCACCAACTTCTAAATAACTCACTTCTAAATGTACTGCTGAGTATACACTGTCAGTTGTTGACAGCCTGTACTTAGACAACTGTGAGCTTAAATAGCTAAAAACTCTCTGGCACCCACACAGAAGGCCTTGTACACATACTCTGGTTGGGTTCTCTCTGTGACACTCACTAAGGCATAATAATTAATAGACAATGTCAGCCTCTAGGAGTGGCCTTTGAGGCCCTTCCACCAGCTGGAACCTCCATACCATGCCGGGCTGTAGCTACAAGTCTGCCCACACTGGAAACTGAAAATGGAATTCCTGCTTCTGAGCAGCCTCTGATACACAGCATTTGTATCCCACAGCAATTCCTGTTTCTCCTTCTCACATTCATGCAAATGAAAATCCCTCAATTTTCAGCAGCCAGAACAAATGAATACTGTCATCGTCATAAAAATTAAATGATTATTTCAAAGAAGGAACTACTCTTCAGCACGCTTATAATCTCGAGGCAAAGAAAAATTGTCATTGATAATTCATCTTTGCTGCAAGACAAACATTCTTACTACACATAGCTTGTCACAAATGAGGACAGTTCTTGCCCAGGGAGCCAGAAAGTTCTCAGGATTTGGAAAGAGGCACCATAACCAGACACTGAGTATTCAACTCCAAAGTCACTTCCACCTCTACCAATCTGTGTGACCTTGGGTAAATCATTTGACCATCCTGTGTTCTTTCCTATTCCATTGCCTTCTTCATGTTAAATTATCTGCTATTTGCCTGGGTGGCTTCCCTAATATATCTCCTTGTCTTAAATTCTTGTAGAATGCTATTGTATGAAGCCATCCCTGAGTTTTTTAGGACAGGTCAGCTTCTTTTGTATTCATGAACCTATTCTAGATTGCCCATAACTCCATTATATCATTTACCTTATGGCATATTTATTATTATATTTATTTTAGTTTATCACTTTATCTCAGGTTATCAGGTAATATACAATTATTATTGTTCCTGCTAATATTAATAAAATTATTTGTAATGTTAGGAGGACCAAGAGTCAAGCACTATAAACACATTATTTCTAATTGTCGTAAAACCCTGTAAGAATGATAATATTATTATCTTTTTTAAATGATAGCATCTTTATTGTCATTTTTACAGTTGAGGAAAATACATGGAAGAGAGATTATACAGGTGGTTAGGTGAGGCCTTGAGGGTCATGATAAAGTCTACTCTGCTTTAACCCATGCTTGTAATCATTACTCTAAAATAGTTTCTTAGATAACATTTATTAAGTCCTTATTAGATGTCAGGCTCAGCACTGACTTGACCCTCACAAAAACCCTGTGATGTAGATTTAGTGATTATAATATAATTTTTTTAAAAAATGCAATTAACGGGGCTGGGGATTTAGCTCAGTGGTTCCGCCACCTGCCCCGCAAGCACAAGGACCCAAGTTCGATCCCCACTACAAAAAAAAAAAATGTAGTTAAGGCTCAGAATGTTTGAATGACCTGCTCAAAGTAACATACTATGGAGATTGGATTTCAGTGCAAATTGGTCTCCTTTCAGAAACTGTACCCTTACCCACTACTCTATTCCATGGTAGAATCTTCTTTAGTCTTTAGAAATACTATTCAGGTTTTCAGGATTAATGCTCCTGGAAACAGAAAGCTGCAGTATTACCCCTTTTCAATAATGCAAAGTAGCAAGTTGATTCACCCCCCTAAGCACTCACCTTAGTACATGTGTGGATCCATTAATGGTTGTGGTTGAACAGGGGACAGTCTGGCCCAGAATGGAAGGTCTTCGGTAGCGTTCATCATCACAGCAGAGGATGATGAGGAAGGCACGTCTAAAAGACTTATTCAAGAAGGCGTAGAGAAAAGGATTCAACCCAGAATTGATATAGCCAAGCCAGAGAAAAGCAGTCCACAGCTGTCCGGGGACAGTGTAGTCTATGAAAGGATCCACGATGTTGGTGACAAAGAATGGAGCCCAGCAGAGGCAGAAGCAACCCATGATGATGCACAGGGTCTTGGCCGCTTTGGTCTCTGTCCTCATGCGATGAGTGCTATGCTGGTCAGCTGGCTGGGGCCTGCCCTCTGAGGGGGCTCCTGCCCGTTGTAACATCTGGATCTGGTGAGCATGCTCCTTAGCGGTGACATAGATGCGATAATAGGCCAGCACCATGAGGAGAAATGGGATGTAGAAGGCCACCACTGAGCAGGTGATAGCATAGGGCTTGTTGACCATGAAGATACAGTACGTAGAGTTAGAGTTCTGGTTGAACTTCCTTTTTTCTATCTGAGAGTTGAAGGGAGAGAGAAAATGAGGAAGGGAGGAAGAAAGGGTAGGGAAAGGAAAGTAGCAGAAAAAATGAGGAAAAATATAAGAAAAAAGTGAAAAGAAGAAAAGGATACAAATAAGGGAAGGAAACAGGGAAAGAAGAAGAAAAAGGACAAAAGAAAAGGAAAGAAAAGACATCAGCAAATCTTTTTTTTCTTATAATCCTATAGATCATAGCATTTAGATGGTAGAAAAAGAACATAAATCTATCCCAGAGCTCAGAAAGCTGTGTATGACAAGAGGGGCTGAAAACCTCAGGAAAGAGTAGAAATAAAATGGAGATAATCATTCTCCATTCCATTCACTCACCAATAGTGGAACTCTGCCTTCTTCTCCCTACCTTTTCTGCTTGCCTATGTTCTATCAGTGTCTCTTAACAGGATGTCTGTAGGTCAGTAACAACAGAGTCATGTGTGGTGCTCATTGTAAATGCAGAGCCTCCCCTCACCCCCGATACTGGATCTAAATCTCTTGGTAGTGAAGCTTAGAGTTTTGTGTTGCAAGCAAGTTGGCTGGCTGGTTGGTTGGTTTAGTTAGTTAGTTACTAGCTATGTAGTTCAGGCTGGCTTTGCGTTCACTATGTAGTCCATGCTGATATCAAACTTGGGGTGATCCTCCTGCCTCAGCTTTTTGAGTGTTGAGATTACAAGTGTGTGTCACCATGCTTAGCTAGTTAATTTAAAAAATAATTTTAAAGTTTATTAATATTTGCAAACTTTGGCTATATATAATTTTAAACCCAGATATGTGGAAGATGCCATGGGGCACCTTTCCAAACTATTTCTATGCTCACTGAGCATCCTGATAAAAGTTTTGCTCATTCAGATTACACAATATTCAAAATACTAATACAGAGTAATGGCCATGAGGGGCCTCTGGTCTTGAGAGAAAGAAAAAGTAGATAGTTTAGAATCATGGGGAACCAGAATACAGTATTTCCCTCTTATCTCTGGTTTCACCTTTCAAGGCTTAAATTACCTGTAGTCAACTGCAGTTCAAAAATTCCAGAAATAAACAGCTAAAGAGTTCTAGATTGCATGTCATTCTGAGTAGCAAGATGAAATTTCACATGATACTGCTCTGCCCCACAAACCCCAGGGTGTGAGTCATTCTTTTCTCCAGCATAGCTATACTCATTCATTACTTAGTAGCCACTTTGGTTATCCAGTTGGCTATTCTGCTATCACAGGACTTGCATTCAAGTAACCCTAATTTACTTCATAATGGCCCAAAGTGCAAGAAGAGTAATACTGGCAATCTTATCACACTACATAGCTATAATTTTTCAACTTTATTGTCAATGTTGTCAATCTCTTACTATGCCTAATTTATAAGTTGTACTTCAGAGATCTCTTTTTGCCAGTGGTACTGGGGAATGAACACAAGACCTTAACACTGAGCTACATCCCTGGACCCTTTTTTGTTTTCCTTAAATTCTTTTATTGGTACATTTTAGGTATGCAATACATTTACATTTATCATTGGGTGCTTGTACCTGTACATGACGTGTCTTGGTTCTCATTTTTTCCCCATTTTTTCCCTGTGTGCCCTTCACCCCCTCCAACCTTCCCTATTTACATAGACTTCATTTCCATTTTTTTTCCTTTTCTCATAATTTTTCCTTTCCCTTCTTTCCTTTCCCCTTCCCCTCCCACCACCCCTACCCTGTTGGACCTTTTCTTCCTATTTCAAATTATCACTTATTCATTTTAATCATTTTAACCCTTATTTACACTTTCACTTTCTCACACTAGAGAAACTATTTGGTACTTACACATGTGTGTCCTATTTATTTCACTTAGGAGTATGGCCTCAATGTGCATCCATTTAGCTACAAATGTCTCTAATTTCTCATTTTTTATGGCTGAGTATTACTCCATTTTATAAAAAAAATAACACATTTTCTTTATCCAGTCACCAGTTGATGGGCAATTGGGCTGCTTCCAAGTTTTATCTATTACAAACTGTGCTGCTTTAAACGTGGGTGCACATATATCTCTGTGGTATTATTCTTTTCTTTTCGGAAGATACCCAGTAGGGGAATAGCTGGGTCAAATGGGACTTCCAGTCCTAGTTCTTTGAGGTACCTCCATACTGATTTCCACAGTGGTTGCACCAGTCTACACTCCCACCAGCAGTGGGGCAGGGTTCCTCTTTCCCCACAGCCCCACCAACATTTGTTACTGGTTGATTTCTTGATAGCAGCCATTCTTTCTGGGATGAGATAGAATCTCAATGTTGTTTTCATCTGCATCTTTCGAATGACCAGTGATGTTGAACATTTTTTTCATATATTTATTTGTTGCTTTTACTTCTTTGTCTGAGAAATGTCTGTTCCTTTTATTGACTTATTTTTGTCTTGATACAGAGTCTCAGAAAGTCACTCAATTGCATTCCTCCTGCCTCAGAGTGCTGGGATAACAGGTGAGTGCCACCATGCCCACCTAGTAATACTTTATCTTAGATATGTATGCACACACACAAAACAGGATATATAGAGAGTTTGGTATTATTCATGATTTTAGGCATCCACCAAGCTCCTGTAATGTGTTTTTTATGAATACCAGAAACTGCCATGTATAGTCTGAGTAGGGCAAGACCCCAAGGGAACTTGGAATCCAACCAGAGTTAGGGGCCTAAATATTACTGCATCTCATTCTCTCCTGAACCCACACTACTTAGGTGTTTGACCTAACCACTCCAATAAAATTGCTCTGGTCAGTTATTAACCATCCCTATGGGGCCAAGTCCAGCCTTCATTTTAAATAAGCCCTCTATTTTTTGACCTATCTGAACCCTCCATCCTTTTTGAGTTGAGATAAAATACTTATGAAGTACGTACATACTGAATGTACATACAGATGGATGGATGATTACAAAGTAAATATACCTGTATAAATATTATTCAAATCTATAGAATATTGCTAGCATACCAAAGCCTCCCAATTATCCCTCTCAATCATTGTTATGCTCAACTGTCACTGCCACTCTTTAACACCATAGACTAATTTGTCTTCCAGATTAATACAAAGCAATTATAAAACATAGTTTGCATCTAATTTAATACTGTATTATTCATATTACTTTGGGTACCTATAATTTATTTTTTATATTGAGGTACATTGCATTCAATAGTGTTAATTGAAATAAATTTGATACAGAAGGTTAAATATCACAGTTTCTTTTATATGAGAAATCCCAAATTTAAATAATTTAAAGAGAAAAATAAAGAGAAAATGGTAGGAAAGAGGCAGGTATACTTTTTTGGAGATGGGGAAGGAACCTGGAGAAGGGAGAATGGTTGGTGATAAGGAAGATCAAATATGATCAAGATAATATATATATACATATATATACCAATTTCCCCAAACAGATGTAATTTTTATATCACATATACTAATAAAAAAGAAATAGACCTCAACTATTGTCCACTCCACTAACAGACATTTGAGCAATATTCACATTTTGCCTATTTTGAACAAAATTGTTATGAATATTCTTGTAAAAGTGTGTGTGTGTGTGTGTGTGTGTGTGTGTGCATACTTTCATTTCTCCAAGGAATATATCTATCTAAGACTGATTTTGCTGTACCACAGGGTTAACTCAGCTTTGGGACATATAGCCAAATGTTTTCCAACTACTTATGTTTCTACTATTGGGCCAGGAGAGTTCCAATTACTCCACATCCTCTCCAACACTGAGTACTGCCAGTGTGTAGTGTTATCTCATTTTGGATTTATTTATTTGTTTGCTTGTAATGGTTATAAAGTGTGATTACATCAGTAAAACACTTCATGTATCTGCAACCCCCTGTCCAATGAGCTGATATTAGAATTTGTCTCACATTCTAGCTTTGATATCAATAGTGTCCCAGGTATTGCTGTCCATATAATTACAGTACACAAACAGCACTTTCTATGGAAAGTATGTAAGACTTCTGTTTCTGATTATCACTCTGATTCCCTCACGGGGATAGTGCACTGCCTTTAGAACCGTGAAATTCTGCCTATTTTTGTCACCCTACAGTTTTCTTGCACTATATCCTCAGCCTCACTCCAAGTAAGTCACCTCACACTGCCTTATTGGAATTTTGAATAAAATAAATTTAAATAAAATAAATTTAAATCAAGTCTAAATTTACCATGAACCTTCAGATTCTCATTGTGGTTTTACTCTGCATTATTAGGAATAATGACTAATGATGTTAACTGCTGTTTAACCATTTAAACATCCTATCTTGAGAATTGATTATTCAGGTATTTTCCTATTTCAAAAAGTGAGTTATAGCACTCTTATTGATTTTTAATACTTCTTCTATATTATGGATATATCTTGTCAAATTTATGTTTTGCAAATCTCTTTGATCAGTTTTTTCACTTTCTGCTAGTATCTGGTGACAGAAGTTTTAAGAACCTGTACTTTTGGTTAATACATTTGATGACCTGTTTACTTTATCTTTCAGTATAATGGCATTTTTACATATAATCATTTAAAGACATTCTCCTTCATTATATCTTAATCATCTTTACTGTGTTAGTTTTTACATTGAATTCTTCAACCCCTCTGGAATTAATTTTTCTATTTTGTGTAATATCGGAGACAAGATTACATTTTTCACTTATGATACCCATTGACTCTCAGGCATATACAGAGAAGAACACCTTTACCCAGCTGTACTGCAGTATATCTTTGGTCATAAATCAGGGAACTATATGTGTGCATTTCTGTGTTTGAATTTTACATTTTGTTTTCTCAAAAAAGTATGAATTATGCTATTTAAATTTCTGTAACTATTAATTTTGTATATCTGGTAATAAATGTCTTTGACCTGTGGGCCGTCTCAAAGATTTCCTTGGCTATTCTTATATCTTGATACTTCTATGTAAAATTTAAAAGTAGCTTATCAATTTTCTTAAAAATCTTCAAGGATTTTGACTGTAGTTAGATAAAATGAGTGA